TATTGTTTATCGCCAGAGGCACCAAGTTGCTCTTCACTTAGGAAGCATTTGTCATTGATACAAATACAAATTTTGCAGGTGGTTGAGATCATTTTAACTATTTCTGAGAAGTGGCCTCATATAAGACAAGCAGCTCCTACTTTGACACATTCATTTCATCATCTGCAACTTCAAATCACCTCAACTGGAAATTCCAACATAATCAGTCATGATTGATTTGTGAATGAGTCAATTTTTCATGTGGGAGAATTTCACACTACCTACCCTATGGGGATTCCTTTCGATTTGGTATCGAATCATCTACTCCATACTGCAAGAGAAAGGAAGAGAAGGTAGCAACAGAGAAAATACAGATTCGAGAGCAAATGAATTCGAAATTGATTCGGGAAATATTGAATTATTTTTTAAAGAAACACACTCATGGGAGGTCAAACCGTTTCGTCAAAAATCGGAATATTTCCATAAAACCATTGGCAACACAACTCATAATCGAATCAGGGAACGATTATGTTTTTCGTATGATGGTTCTTGTCTCAAGTGATCTTGGATTATGCTCATCGTTGTTATATCAGGAAGTGGTTCTAATACGTCGGCTTCCTCAACTACATCGATGCAATTAAGACATTCATCTTGTCAGCTATGGCAAACGGTCTTGTAATGTAAGATCACTGTATTTCTGTTTCGCCCATTAGAGCCGGTGAGTCCTTTCAGGATATTAGAGATGTGGATATTATGGACAACACAAAAATATTTTTATATAATAGAACACTGTAGAAAAGTCGGTGACCTCCCACTATCTTATAGATACTTCCTCAGAAATCTCTGCTATGATTCCATTACTCATAATACGAGTCAGATGAACTTGAAACACAAAGTCAATACATCCTTCCGTCGTTAACCTCTAAAGATGTCGAACAACACTCTTCCAAAACTCGTTCGTCAAAAGAACGGCAAAGATTTGGCATTCTTTGGTAATGGAAGTATTCCCAAGAACCTATGACCTCCAAGAGTTAATCAAAACATCCAACACCTACCTCCTCTTCCTATCCTCCCTAGGCACGCATGATGTTCTAAGAACAATATAGGAATTTCCTTTCGTGCGCTCCAAGAAATGAAAAAGAAGAAATGAAATTTCACCTTGGATACTGACCGATATACTGAATTTGTTAGAACCCTAGTGAGGTGATTATTTCAAGATACCTTGTGAAATTTCTCTAGAAGGAATGATGATGGTCGAATACAAGGAACATAAATAATGAAAATAATGAGCTGGTAAATGTCCGATCGATACTTCGTAGCTATCCAACAGATATCAGAATCATATATTTCTCTTATATATATATATTTCATTACGATCTATTGATTCCAATACGAGGTCAGCTATATCAGGCATGAATAACTTCAATCCATCGTCCATAATGTGCATTTTAACAATCGAAAAGTCTGAACATAATGCTGAACAGAAACAAGAGTTGAAATGGAATCATGTTCGATGGAGATAAGTCGTATGAAGACAGCAGTTTTTGGTGGTATTACTGTCTAACGTTTCAAGAAGGATTTGTGATGAAATACGCTGCCTATACAGTACGGACGTCAATATCCATTCTTGATATCACCTCTTCATTCAATTATGATAATTTTTGATTAGAAGAACTATTCGTTACAAGAGAACCATTGAAGTGAGGTATACAAATGTTGTGAGATTCATGGATTGTGACATCAACAATTTTTTCAATAAAGAATTTTCAGAGCTGCATCAATGTGTCCCTTATTTTGATAAAATATATCATCACATTTCTAAAATCGACTGACTTCTCTAGAATTTAAGCAATTTGATCATGGAAAAGTTCGTAAGTAGATATTCACTATGAAAATGGTTTTCGGAGCTTGTCATAAAGTCTTCGAACCAGAATATTCGAACAGGCAATAACATGATGATCATCGTAACATGAGATAATATATGTTATAATTTGGTTCATTCAGGGTATTGAAGAAACCTAATTATTTTTGATGTCATTGGAGACTTTACCTAGAAAAGAAATTGAGAAGAAACGTGTCCGAGGGTTGTTCAACGGTACTGAAGACTGATTCCAGGATTTCTGTAGATGTCTGTTGAAAATTCTATCTAATAGGTATGGTGGATATCCATTGTTGTGATCAATTTGTTTGATAATATTGCGTTCTTTGTTGAAGTCAGGAGGACTCAAGGGGATCCTAAACAATCTATAAAAAAGAGAATTAAAAGCTGCTATTTTATGTGATATCGGATGGTATGAAGTAAAAAGAATGACCGAATCAGTATGTGTTGGCTAACGATTAATAGAAAAATTGAACTGTCCATTGTCTATGTTGATCAATAAATCTAAGAAAGGAAGTGAATTATCACTCGCGATTTCCATTGTGAATTGTATGCAAGGATGTAACTTGTTCAGGAAATCAAGAAGATGGTGTACTTCCGCAAGTGTTCCATCAAAAAGGACCAAACAATCATCCACATATCTATACCAGAAACAAATTCTGTTGGAAAGTGTGAATTTTTTTTAATTTTTGTTCAAGATCATGTAACAAGATTTCTGCTAATGAAGGAGAGAGATTGCTACCCATGGCAAGCCCAGAATTTCGGGAATAAAAAGTGTTATTGAATTGAAAAAAATTCTGTTTTAATACAATATCCAAAAGAGAGCACAAATTGAAAGAGTGAAAAGTTGAGATGCCAGAATCAAAAAGTAGGTTTCTTACTAACGAAATACAATCATCTGGAGGAACACTATAGGAAATGAATTGACCACATCAAAAAAAAAAAGGAGTCGTGAGGGATGTTGAGATTCTTAATTTTGTTTGTAAGATCAAGAGAGTTTTTTAATAAAAGAGGATTACTGTAATCTGATAATTCTTTCATTATAAAGTTCAACCAAGATGCTTATTTGGCACAAGGGGAATTACAATATGAAACAACAGGTCTGATGGGTATGTTATCTTCATGAATTTTTGGAAGTCCATATAGTAGAGGGGTAGAAGGATTCATTGGTGTGAGCTTGAACTTGAAAGAGCCATAGAATGTGATAGTGTCTATGCAAATGTTCAAGGTAGATTTGAAAGTGTTGAAAAATTGTTTGGTTGGGTCAACATTTAATTCAGAAAAACTATCAGTGCTGGGAAAATTGGATATACTTCCTCAATATGATCTGTTTTGTGTGAAATAACTAAGCAATTACCCATATCTGCTTTTGTAACAACTAGATTATTAGTGGAAACTTTTTTGGCAAGATATTTGTTGGTTTTGTAGTATGACATGTGGAGTGAACGAGTGGAATAAGATTCAGAAAAATTGTTATTCAATGACCTGGCAATATCACTTCTTAACAATTCTTTATTGGGATACAGGTTACTTTCAATGACTCTTTCTCATTCTATGGATAAAAGTTTGAAATTGGAGACATTATTGAATCTATCAACATTATATTCTGAATCATTTACTGAAAAAGAGTTTTCTGCATCTGTGAAATTGACAGAGGATAAGTTGAGGATTCCAGGGTGAAACTTGTGATTTGAGAAATTTGCTAGAAAACACTGAAGTTTCTTGGAGAGAAATCAAAGAGTGAAGTTTGTTCTTTGAAATCATGAACTTCGATCTACTTTGGTCCACGAAATAATCCATGAATGTTGAGAAAATAGAAACAAGCTCTGAGGGGTGTAAGACTGCAGAAAGCTTCAGATGGAGTCATTTCAACTTCTTATGGATGTCTGTTAGCCGAAGGTGGTGACGTTCAATCTCTGTCTTGATCCAGATTCTTTGTGCAGGCTCAACAGCCCTTCGAGCAGAATAGCTGCAGTTGTTGGACCTAACCATGACATATGTTAACTGAAATCAGCGAAGAGACAGTAAAATATCTCTTCGCTGCTGGAATCATCATACACTACACTGTTTCACCACCAACCAAACCGATTATTCATACGCCTTTACTCGTGTTTTGCTAACTATGATAGCATCTTCATGAGGAGATTGAAACTCAGTCATACACTGATTTCAAATAGCAACCCTACTCATTCTGAAATCTTTCAATATTAATGTGATTCCTTCTAAAAATGGTACTACTTGACTCCACATATTTTTCACTGGCATATGGTTAATAGACGAATAGACATGGAACCTAGACATAGGTACTAGATATCTAAAGTCTCATTACTTGTTCATGGGTAGTTCCTCACTATTATAATTTTCCAAGGTCGAAAACGTGCTACTCTCCATTGGCGATATTCGTTAATTACTCAATGAGGATACTGTTAGATAGGTACCTAACTGCTTTGATGTATAATGGACATGTCATTCTATAATACTCAGTATATCTTGGTCACTTATTGTACTCAGTAATGTTATATCAGAAATTGCTCCTCTTCGTCGCAAATTGAACAAGATGAAGCATGTGTAACTCTTTGAAACGCCTTCGACAAACTAGCTCTATGTTGCAGATGAAATATTTTCATTGTTGCACTCACTTTTACAGTTCACCCTGGAATCTTGGATCGGAATGCTGTAACCAGAATAGTGAACGAATCTTAGTCAACCCTGTTCCATCGAAATTAATCTTGTTCCTTCCTTGGTACATATTAGTTCCTCACCCAGACAGTACATAATATTTCAGGGATACTCTTACAAAGTCTCTAATATACCTTCTCCAAAATGTTCTGTAGAATATTCCCAATATGTGATAGGAATATCTCGAATAGTCTATGGATGTTATGGTATAATCATAGGATATTCGCAATAGGTTGATAGTGATGGAAAATGATATTGTTAGATTCTGGATCAAGGGATCGAAGTTAGACCCATTTTCCATACTTCAACTCCTTCATCCACTCAGAATATTTTGAAAAAAGATAACTGTTTATGAAATGGGACCTGTTTTTGATGTTGATGAATAAGTGTCCGCTCGAACCGCATTCTTATGACGAATCGGATGACTCGCGTACAATATTTATATTCAGTATATTCATTCCAGGTTTCTGGTGCTACTTTGATTGGAGTTGGCGTACTACTGAAAATGAAGAATAACGACATACAAAACTTCATTCCAGACAAGTATCATCTAGGATTACCGCCGATATTGATGATTGCCATAGGGTCTGTGATATTTTTCACAGCTTTCTTCGGATGTTGTGGAGCAATGAAAGATAATACATGCATGCTGACGACGGTGAGTTTTATTTCAATTATTCATTATTCTATCGAAGAACTGCGTATATGTATCAATTGACATAAGTTGAAAGGGTATTGTTGTTGAATAATCAGTATCCATCCGATATAAATACAGTTCCAACTTCCTCTTCATAGTTTGACGTATCTGTCCCAGTGGCCACATTCCAAGAGGTATATAGAAATGATAATCACCATTTCTTCAATATTAAGATTCGGTCTTCCTCCTGCTTATTCCGATCTACTAATGATTGTTGAAATATTCTTTCTGCCAACGACGTAAAAATATTTCCAACAGATACCAGGATAGCCGTCATTGGTTTTTTAACAATGAATCTTTCTCAGTGAAAATTCTTGAAGTGAATATGCCACTAAATTTGCCGAGTAAAATATCATTGGGACATCTGCTGACAAGATCGTTGGGATCATCTGAATCATGTGACGACGGCCGGCTATCATCAACAATATATTCAGCTTCAGCAAAAACGGTTTGCAGTACTTCACCAATTGAATGTCTGTCTCTCAGGATCGCAGCAATCGTTCGTTCTGAACTACCAATCATCTGATTCAGCTGCTACCCATTGAAGGAGAGGTGGAATTCTCTCGGGAGTTTTGGCGAGTTTGTGATTCCGTCCATGATTGGGAGCATTTCTATCTCCGTAAAATTTTCCAACAATTCATGGCTAGCTTCTAGTATTGTCTGGACAAATGTTTATGATTGCTCCTCGTCTAGCAGAGAATAGTGTTATCGCTATAATACAAGAATCAGTGCTTCGAGAATATGCTCTCCCCGTGAATTTCTCTCACTGTGAGGCATGTGATCAAACCCCATAGCGTAAATCGATTCTTCTACCTATTTTCATTTCGAATTGGCCAAAATAGTCCTAATCAGTAGCTGAGAACGACTTCTTATATACGAGCAATCTTCCTTTTGCTGATAATCTCATCATTAGTTGTTTTTTTTGGCATATCGACGTGTGCAATACAAACAAGTCCTAATTACATTCTTATGGAATACAAAATTCTCACCAAAACTTGTTCATCATCGTGTTCACTCACTCCCTGATGCGCATTTTTATTATGGAAATGCATAATCATCTCCTGAGTCTTCCGTCTAGATCAACAGGTTCCTTCTTGGCTGAGAATGCAATTTCACATATTTTGATAATTCTGCTGCTGATTCTCATGATTCCTACCATGTTAAGGACAAAAGTCATGTGATGTAATCTGCCAGCTTTATTTCGGGTGTTGTTCTGCAGGTTACTGAGATCTTTCGGAATACATGAACATTGAAAACCTCTCCACCACAATTTTCCTCTGTTCGAAGCTCAAGTTATTGCTATCTCCCTTCCATGTAATTCTTCACACAGATATAAACTGAAATATTCTCGCAGTAATTGCATTTTGATAAAGAGACTGCCAGGTTGGTCGTTTGTTATTCAATATAATATAATCTTACGTTGCGGTTTCACGTCACAGTTGACTGTGATTTTTTGTGAATCTCCAAATGTCATATTCAGATATTGGATAGCGGTGATCGTTCATGAGATACAGGGCGAGTTTAAACTTTCCAATTTTTTGACCCCCTCTATATCAACGAAATTATTAGAAATAATGTTGGGCTGAGAACTAAGTATAGCAGACAATTATGCGCAGAATCCATTTTATTATTCAATTTTTCTCCGAGTATGGTTCAGGAGATCCTGAACAAATTTATAATTTTTCAATGGAACACCCTGTCTCTCATCAGTTCGTTGAATTCGCTTTCTTCCTATTGACAACTGAGATTTTGTAAAATTACTGTACTTTTGAAACTTTTTCATTACTTTTACTATGCTGCTGACCAATTTCGTCCATCAAGAGGTTCCGAATGATTAGGCTGAAAAACGACGTGAATCGAAACGTATAACAGAAAAACAACAACAAAAATAAAATGAGTGTATTGAGATAATTTTGATTTCAAACATGTTCAACACCATATATCACGACGGCAAAGAACGAACGAGTCTCCTAAGAAAACTATAAATCACTATAATATAAATAGATTTGATAAGCAGCGACATTTCCGATGTAACTACTTTCAGTAGGTAATCTAATATTTTATTAAGATCGAACAGCTCCAGCATTTGAGAATCTGTAGTCCTCAAAACGCTTGTTTTTTTATGCAATTTTGAAATCACTTATAGATTGTTATTGTTTGTATCCTACAAAAACGTCATGGAAATAAGAAGCATTTTCACAAGAAAGCAATTCGACATTGTTCATTTTAAATTCATTAACCGATTGGAAAATATTTATATGTAAACTGAATCCTTCAGTTAAGGAAGCGTTGAAGTAATCATATAGTAATTCTGAAAAAAAATATGAAACTCGAAACATTTCTCATTATGTCTGGTCATGTCTGATATACCTACTTATAATTCAGACTATGTCATCGAAATAAAGGCAAGTCAAGAATGCTGATGTGATACTGTGTAAATTTGGAGAAAAAAAATAAAAAAGGAATGCATAGAAATGTGAAATGAATGAAAAGGAATATTCAAGATGGAATGAAGAAAATATGAAAAACAAAATGAATATACCTATGTTGAATTGTATCAGGAATGAAAGGATATATGTGGTTAATTTCTGACGATTCAGGAGTAAGAAGTATCACTGAGTATAACAAGATGTACTGAATCAATCAGGATTTATGGTATTATACCTTCTAGTCAGAATATTGATCAATATACTACGAAAAAAATATAATTATATGAAAAGGGAGAGACGTACATAGTGTATGCAAGAATGTGATTCATCATCGGACATTAGATAATGATCTGATTGGTGTAGAATGCGGCACTTATTGTTGAGTAGTGAACGAATGAAGACATAACACAAAAAGCATACTTGAATTCTCAGTTGAATTGTATGAGGAATGATAGGGCATTCAGTTAGTTTGTGTTGATTCTGGTGTAAGAAGTATAACTGAATATGACAAATTGTACTGAATCAATGGTTTTCTATCTACTAGTTCGGATATTAATTGTTATAATTTGAAGAATATAATTTCATGAGAAGAATTTGATTCTGAAGTGACAAGTATCACTGAGTATAACAAATTGTACTGACTGTACGTCAGATTCGAATTGGATCGAATCTAGAATATCTAACATACAAAAATACATAGAGACTTCGAAAAACTCCAGCATATGTTTTATAATTCAATAAGGTGTAGGCTTATATTTATTTCGTTCTTTGGACGAATATTGAATATGTATGCACCACAGTCAATTGAATTGGTACCTTCATAAATGAAACAACCCTATGTATCCATTTACTGTATTGAACCCTAGTAGATCGTTTACAAAATATCAATCGATGTTCCATAATGATTTTCTTCATTCGTAGTTTGCCATCATTCTACTCACTCTCTTGATCGTTCAAGTTGCAATAGGAGCTTATGCATTCCTCATCATTGGGGATACACAAGATTTGAGGTTATCAGTGAGACAAGTAGTAGAAAAATCCTACAACCAATACAACGAAACACAAATCGCCAAGGAGGAGTTCGACTTCCTGCAAGCGTTCGTGAGTATGATTTGAATCTCCTTCATTTTACTTGTCGATTGTTTGAACGTTTATTTATTGATCTTTTGTCTGACACGTCATGCTAGTGGCTTGTGGCTATACTAGAATAAAACACAATATAGTGGTGACCCGTTTCTCCTGCCAAAGGCTCATTACATGAAAGTTCAGTATCTACTACTGAGGAGTCATCCATGCATTGCTTACTCGATTTTCAACAGTTAATGACAGTCATTGCTGTAGTCGATAGGATATTACTGACAGTGCGATCAGGTCAAGAAGGGACATCCCATCGTCTTGTCAATACACCGAGAGCAATATCAATTAGCTGTTAGAGACCAACTTCATCATTTCAAAAAACCATATAACTGTGAAACAGCACTTATATCAGAATAAAATCACGCCCATATAGGGTTGAAATGACTAAGATTCCAATTTTTGACGATGCTTTTATTAAAATGGAAATATTGTCATATCTTTATTACTGGTTTCAAATTTGATAGTTGGATAATAAACATTTCAATATCAAATAATGATAATTCCGAGGATAATTCTAAGAATAGAATATATTATTATATACTCATTTCAATATGATCTGCTTTCAATTTAATAGTCATATGATTGGCATATCAGTGAGAGGGAGATTGATTTTTTTCCAGAAAGTGGTTTTTAGATCTTCGGGAAATATTGAAGGCATATCCACTTCGTTTATATACTATTCCAAGTAGATAAACTATACAGGGCATTGGAGTGCATCACAAGGACATACTCAGTTCACAATATCTCATTCCACCTACGACAAAAATGCTTCCAATTTGGACTGATTGTTCTGTAGATGTAGAGAGTTTCGTTAGTAAATGAGGGTTCACGAATCACGTAACAAAAACGAAAAATCTCTATTCCTTATGATGAATTGTTGATGATGCAAATACAATAATCATTATACAAACCGAATAAATACATTTCACACCGTGAATGTTCAAGAAAGGGATGTATATATTGAGGTTATCAGAATTATAAAAGATGCGGAAATGGTTAGAACTAAGTGTATTTCCAGGCCGATGCCGTTTGCAAAACTTTAAAATTCCACGAAAAGAAAAACGAACTCTGCAGATTTCGTTCGATTTTTTTGCCATCATTCGAAATATAATAAAACAGAAGATATTTTCTTGTTGCCACTTTTTGAGCTCTACAAAAAAGCGTTCAGACAATTTTCTTACGACGTTTCGTTTCAGAGAAACCATTTCCGAGATCCCCATGATAAACATCCTCATTTCAGACAGATTGAATACACAATACGATCTTTCATCGATATAACTGTGTGAATACGAGCTCTTGTCACTGTCACTGTGTGAAAGAACGAAATTTCATCCAAATTGGAAATATTTTCCAATATATCGTGAGAACACTATGATGCCTTGCTGCAGTTCATCATCCTATAGTTCTTCAGAAAATCCTATACGTGGAGCGAATATGAACACATTTATCCCTGATATTGCTAGACGATCTTGCAATCACTTTGCTCTTCCATGAAAAAAAAATTATCACTCTGTGAGTGAGCTGCCTTGGGCTGATATGTCCTTTAATGTCAGGAATCCAGAAAGACTAACGATTTACGATTGAGATCGAACATGTGTTCATAAGCGAGTGAGAAATAGTAAATTAAGAAGGGATGATAAAACTGGATTTTTCTCGGTGCAGCTTACATGTCATATCACATCAGGAATGCGGAGACGGCTGACTATTATTCCATTATTAACTGACCAAGAGTTTATGTGGTGAGTGGGATGAATCATTGAGGTATGATGGTTTTAGAAAAGTAGGGGTGGAATTAAATATCACCCATTCATCTGTGAGACGACATCTTTCAGGAGTTGAATGATTATCTATAGAATTTCATCTTCTGATGATGATCTTGTCCTATATAAAATCTAGAAGGTGACCTATTTGAAGCATGACGATTTTTCTAAAACGGTTACCTACCTGTTTCACGTTGAGAACGTTGACTCTTTATGTTCATCAAATAACATTTCCTGGTTGAAATGTAGCAATCAGTAGTTATGAGATATTCTTGAATACAAACTTGAATATTAATGGATTTTCCTCGGTGTAATGGCGGCCATCAAAAAATGATAAAAATAATGATCGAGGATACTCTTTGAGTACCCAGTAGGCTTCACACTGAGGTATTAGAGCCTATACGATATTTTTTTCTTCATATCTTGGGGCGCACGAAGAGCAATTCCTATGAGGTTCGAAGAAAATCGTGCGTACCTGGAGAGAATATGAAGAGGAGGTAGGTATTGGATTTATTTTACAACTTCAGGAGGTTATTAGTTGGGTGGCAGTATATAAAGTACCATCAGTAAGTAACTCTTCTGTTTCTGATAGTACCATAAAAATTAGAAAAATAACCTCACAGGTGATTTTTTTTTTCTGATCAACAAACATCTTCACGATCTGCAAAATTATACAGGAAGCAGCAAAAAGTGTATACATTTTTGATGAAACACCCTATATATTTCGTGAATGTGTTTCAGTTATTTCATTCTCTCAATGCGCTGAAGGAAGCTTCAAATCTCAATAATTTATCACCAAGCAGATGATTTTGTTTTCGCATTTTCAGGCCCCTGTCGCTCATGGGTAGTTATTAGAGCGCCATATTGTTTTGTTTCAATAGAGAAGAGTTTCTTTTCTATCTTTCTGTGACCAGGATATTATAAGCTTTCATCGTCATATTTACGCTATCAATCAGGAGGATCATAATTCCCTTGGATAATTATAGCCTTCACAATTCCCTCAACCTGAAATTGAAAAATGAATGCATAGTAACAACCTAGCAACATCAAATGTCCTATAATCAATGGTCCCTGATTCGAATATAGCGGGGAGGTAGTTAATTAAATAGGTCATAAATGAAATCATCTATGTATCACGGGATTCAATGCCCTCATAATTTCCTAGATACATGAATGAATATTTATGAAGATCATAATCTATCAAGTCGTTATTGGTGACAACTCTATATTATATCAATGATCACAAACCTGTCGATAGCGAGCCGCTGGTTCACAATATATTGGTTTCCGATTCATTGAACAGGTTGGCGAAACTGTGGTTCAACCAGGCACATATGTTCAGAATGAAGTCGTCTGACCATGTCTGACCAACTAGCTGTGTGTGGTTCTGGAGCCAGCAACGGGTTTTTCACAGTATAGAGCATATGGCTAGAACTTTTACAATGAGTCCCTCAGAACGTAGGAACAAGGGAACGGGCAGTCTGGCAATCCGCCAGGGGTGGCTTTAGCACCGGCTGATTTTTTGATTAGCATTAGTTTGGGTCCTGAAAATATTGAAGTTGATAATGTACCAAGTGTGTCAGAAAATTGCCGGACCAGTGGGCGGGTGGAAAGTGAGTGCCAGAGGGGGTTGAAGTGGCCTACAAAACTATTGTATTCACGGTTCAATAATCAGGATGAATTTTATTCAATCTCTTCAAATATACCCACACAAAGTGAAACCGTTGATGCCAGATCGAAACTCCGGTGGGAACACCTTGCCAGATCAACAAAACCATCCTCTGGAGTGCGTGTTTAACAGTCTAATCTAATGGGTCTAATGCGAGCATGTGCGAGTGAGAGCATCTTCTTTCCCTCTAAATTTTCGAAGTTTTCAATCAGTTATGAATACTTTTTATATTCAGGTCTTCAATTTGAACATCTGGAATGTATTCATTGTACAGGGTGAGTCTGTATTCTCTTTCGATATTGGCTGAACCATCACCATGAACCATGGAAAAGCATTCATAGCTCTCGAGTGAACACGCCTTCTTGCCAGGTGGCGTTCGGCGCTCGCGTTTATTTCGCGGACGTTGATTGCCCCGTAAGGTATTAATGCTGAGATCCGTTTTCGTTGGGTCAGGTTCGCACCAGATAGCGATCAATTAGCTATCTGGGACAGCTCTGCACTGATGAGAGCCAACAGCTTGATACCGGCGGTCTGCAGGTTGTTACCCAATCCTGAACCACATAGGTGCAGCTCGGCGTTTAGGAAGGAAACACTTGCGATTTTATTTGTCTATACGAATTATTGCATATATTCCAGCAGGATATAATCCAATGTTCTGCGTGGCATGTAGCCAAAAAAGAAGTTGTCCTCATCTCGTTATCTACCATTCTCGTTCATTTCATGAACTATTGTGGTAAGTAATGACTTTGAGTTCCTCTCTTTTTATGACCATTTCATTCTACTTTGAGTATTTGGCTTTTCTCTAGTTGAATCAATATTCAATTTCGTACTGTGTGAAATCAGTTTATATTCGATTATAAGGAGCTGGTCTTTGTTGTACATTGATATCCTCCTGGTGGTGACCCAGTAATGCCTATATCTCTTCTGTTCACCATACGATCTGAGTGCAGTTCACTGAAGATATTATGTGGAATATTATGAGTCCGATGTCAATGTAAACAAATCATGATTATCAATTCAATGTATTGAATTCAAACTGTAATTGATAATCAAATTGAATATCAATTAAAACTGTGAATATTGATCTTAATCATTGGGTGATCTCAGCAATACAAATATTTTTAACTCGAACTTTTCTCCATTTTTTGTCGAGAACTTTATCCAAATTATACCAGGAATAGACCAATGTTAGGCGAAGAGTTGAATGAACATTGTTGAAGCCTTTATGCATCGTGCTGCACGTCGATGATTGGCTCAACAACATGCCAATTGAGGAGTTGACATGTGGATATACTGTTTATTCTCGGATTAATCCAGAATAAACCTGTATCATTCTGATGGTCAGATATTAGTTTGTCGAAGATCTGATGAACGATACAGGGAAGAAAATATGAGTCCCCAAGAAGCTTAGTGGCGGTTGAGTTACGATATGGAGGGGCGTGACAAAATGGCACGGTTACAGCAGGAGTGTACAGACAGACAGACAGATACATTCTGCCTGTCATAGTGCCATTAGGTGAAAACTCTGTTTTGTC